CTTGATAACAATTAATTTACAGAACCACAATACAAAAACATGAATAAACTCTGTTTTAAAGACTATTAAAAACTTACTAGTAAAAAAATACATTTTACTTCACTTTCAAACAAACTGGTAAAATATCACAATATATATGTATATATACACACACGCACATACATATATGTTCCCTGCTGGGTTAGCAGCAAGTTTACAGAGTTACAACATAAAATTCTGGGGTTCAGTTCCCCATGGTGAATGGAATGCAGATAATTTATTATGTAGCTGTGTGCTAAAAATCAATGTGCATGTGTGTGTGTGTGTGTATATATATATATATATATTGTGATATTTTACCAATTTGTTTGAAAGTGAAGTAAAATGTATTTTTTTACAAGTAAGTTTTTAATAGTCTTTAAAACAGAGTTTATTCATGTTTTTGTATTGTGGTTCTGTAAATTAATTGTTATCAAGGGGTTAATTCGTGTTTCTTTTTTTCATTTGATATTATAAGCCTCACTATGTATTTTAGTTTGATAAAGGGTTTACTATGTATGATGTCTTTTTATATTGTAAAAGTGTTGTTATATGTTGTAGTTTTAATTTCATGTTAAATGACTTGTTTTATAATACTGAAGTGTTTTTTTGTGTGATATTGAATCTTTTTAAAACTTTCGTTTAAAGGGTATTTATTTTATAATGGATTTTATTTTGTACTTTTAGCATATAATGAGGATTTAAATTTATTTTGAATTTTTGATTTAGTGCAAAGGATTATTGAGTGATTAATATGTGATTGTATTGTGTTACACTGTGTAACGACATAGTCATATGGGTTCAGTTCTGCACCAGTTACAAATAAATTTTTTTAATGCCAGGTTATGCAGTCGTGGGTTAACCACACAAGCCACCAACTCGAGGAGATTTATGTTTGAAATAAATATAATTCACTCAGAGGCTGTTTAATACAAACAAAAAAATAATTGTAATACAAGATATTCATCTACTCGTCTAGATCAAAGTTTCCGAAACAATCTTGAAACAGTTCGATATCAAAATTATTAAACTCTTCATTCTGAATGGCAATATGTTCATTAAATAAACATTCTGTTGTGTTCATTAACATTGAAACTACAATGAACAAGTTACCTCGAGATATTCTTTCAGACATATTTTCACCTATACAATTGCAATAACAATCCTTCCAATATGTTTATTAATAACTCTAATATGTCTTCTATCAGCTTAGTTAAATCTGCAGCAGAGTTAATGTTTAGTACATTTCTTTCCTCTGACATTATACATTATTTGTTATAAATATTGTTAAACTAGATAAGGGATAGCATTAACTACTTACAAAGAATATGTGCATTGGATATGTGCAAGACTGTAGTATGTCTGTTCTGGATCTGGAGGTGCAGCAGAGATCCTGAGCAAATTTGGATCAGCTGAAGAGCTCCGGATAGTTGGATAAGTCAGAAACTGGCGAGGATGTGCTGTCAGAACCAAATCACGGCATTTTATACTAATTAGTTAGTATAATTAAGACTCAACAAGAAGTTCAGCTTGCTCAATTCTTGCACAGGTTTCTTTTAATCTGATTGGTACTTTTGCAGCATTCTATCAAACCACAACTACTTGTTAATTGGTTTGTATGGAACTATTTCTGGGCAATTATATGTCACTATGGGCATCAGAATATATGAATACAAACCAATTAATTTAGGGTTTTTTTTTACACATATTCTTCCACTTGTTGCTTTCTCTCAAAGTTTTTTTCGGTGCTAATAAGCAGAATCACTACTTGCTACTTCTCATGTTGTACTCTGGACTGTGTTTCCAGCTAAATCATGTAATGTATTTTGAGTTTGTATTATCCTTATTTGGTAATCATGCTTGCTTGTTGGCATTAAACATTTTATGTAGCAGACTGATTTGGTTAATGGTTTCCTATTATGTATTTTTCATTACTATATTTTTTTAATTGCTTTCAAAGTTTCCATTATTTGTAATTGTAGCGAATCTTTCAATTGCATTAGTTTTTGAATATTGAATTTTGAGCTTATCTGTTAATTTTATTGTATGATGTTATGTTCTCTGTTTTACTTGTGTGTCGTGTTTGTGTTTTACAGGGGCAAAAACAAGCTACATTGGTTTATTGACCAATGCATGAATTTATTCAGTAGTAATTAAAGTTTTAAAGTTACAGATAGCTAAGAATGGCTTGAAGGCAAAAGGGAAAGGAAAGATGTAGTATGCAAGCATACATAAGTTTAACCTAAAATGCTGGTCAAGGAAGTGGCCAAATTCCTGTTGATCTAGTTACCTATAGTTCTGGGTCATTTAACTATGGTGTCACATTGTGTTCTCTCATGGGAAAGGTAAAGCCATTTACATGTGTTATACACAATTCATTAAATATGTTTGTTAACCATGCCCCCTTTCACAATATAATTGTATTTAAATCAGTTGCAAATTTGAATGTATTTATGCAAAATCAACTATGTATTATAGTCTTATGCAAGTATTAATGCTACCACATCCATGTCTGTATTCTATTTGCACATAATTACATTGCCTTAAAAATCATCTAAAAAGTAAATTATCTGTTGATGAGTTGTCTGTGAAATGCATGCATGCACATAGAAATTTTGTTCTGTATTATTCTTTGTGTGTGATTTTTTGCTACAAGAACTGAAATATTTTTATACTAGTTATTTGCATTTTTATTTTCTCTTTTGAATCTGAGGCTATAAAACTAAAACCAATAATGACATCCAAATTAGGCCCAGAGACCACCTTTCTGCAGGAAGAGTTAGCTTAAAATAAGGTTTGTGTGTCCAAAATAGTGTAATATCAATTATTACAAATTATGCTGATTTGTCTTTTGTTTTATATTTATAAATGTACAGACCTTCATGAAGTAGGCTTCCCCCTTATCAGAAGATCTACATATATAATAAATTACTCGTTCAAATCCAGCAGAACTAATGAAAATTGTGTAACTACTGTACATGTGATATTAATTTGAATTGTAATTCATAAAGTAATGTGACAAGTTGTAGTGCAGTGCATATGATTTTTTTTTCTGCTTTGCTTTTAATAAATTTGGTGATTTGATTTCCTTAATTTCTTCCAATAAGTCAGTGTACCAAGTGTTTTTGTACTAGGTGCATAACAAGTAATCTTATATGTATTGTGAACTGTGGTGTCTGTCTGAGCATTTGTCTGTCTCCTTTTTGAAAAGCTGCACATGCAGGCAAAGCTCAACATTCACTTTTGAAATGACGGGAGAACAGGCATGAATAATCTTGATGCCAAATTTTATTTTGTAAGCAAGATATTTTACACTACATTGTTAGGAATCAATGACACTATCATTCACATTTCAAAATGTGATGTAACTTAAAGAATAAAATGTAAATCTACCATGTGTTATTGTTGAGCAGCTCTTAGAATGACTGAATTATTTCGCTCAACATTTACTTTTCGCTGTGGGCGGTATAAGTCGCTCAGAGCTTTGGATCTGAGTGAGACCAAGAGTGCAACACAATTAGCCTTTTTAAAGTCCATGAAATAATTTAAATTGATAGATTAACTTAAACTTTTCCGTCACTGGGGATAGGTATTTTTGCTTTTATTCAATATGCAAGTGTTCCTTAAAGTTATAGGTAACTCCAAAAGTGGTAAGATGCACAGGGAGGTAATTAAAGTGTTTTTATACTGATGATTTTGTGGAACTGTATCTGTTCATGAATCTCTAATGACTCAGTGTTGTAGCTGTGAAAACGAGTTTGAATAAGTCGGAGTTCTTCTGTTTTTGTTTCAGATGCTGACCCATGCATTCGAGATTATAGTGGCAGGAAACCTCACCAGTACTTGGCAAAATGGCAGAGTTTAGACAAGTCCACTGGAACACGTAAGCCATCATCTCCGCCTTCTTCACCCCTTGTGGAGCATGTGCCACAAACTCGTATTGCTACACAAACTATGAGCAATCGACACACCCCATTCTTCCATAATGCTTTGCATCAGTCATTTTTGCGTACAACTAAACCCGTCCTCTTGCGGGCATACTCTTGTCCAAAACGCAAGTCTGTAATTTGTAAAACAAACTCGAAAAAGTTTTGAAATCAAGTGGCAAGCACTGGGCAAAGGATAACTAACACATGTGCCTTTATTACAATGAGTTAAAAATATACTTTTTACACCAAAAGTGCTTAATTATTAGGAATATACATTGTGTACATTTAACTTGTAAATTACAACTCTGTGATTCCCTATTTTCATATACTAATATGGGCTCAGTCAGAACAGAATCAGTTATAATCTGTGATACATTATACTACTTAATATAATAATAATTATTTTTATATTAGTATTATTGTGAAGATGTTGGTGTACCAAAAAGTACCACATATTTATACATATAAATGTGTATAAACATATCATTGATTTATGCATGAATGTCTTTTTCTGTTTGTTTTTTTATAATTTTGATTTCCTCAATTTCTTCTATTAAGTCAAAGTTTTGAGTATTTTTTTAATACAGTTCCATAGGATTAATATATTAAACGTTCCTTGTAAAAACTCACAAAATCAACTTCTTGTAAACTTTTATTTATTACATGCTTGAAGTGGTACACTGTCTTGTGTTTGAGGAGGAAAGATGGTTAGTTAGTTGAGATACTTTTCATTTCTGTTTTTAAGGTTAGACAGAGTTTAGTACTACATATGTGAAAGAAATATTTTTTGATAATAAGTCTAACTTTAGAGTTTATATCTTACAGCAAAGAACATTTCAGCAAGCATTGGTCTAAATTTTACAGTCCATATCTTTCATCAAATATAATCTGGCAATTGTTAGTGTAACCTTAGAGTCCAGATATATCTTTGTTTTGAGATGTGGATTGAAGATATGCTAGCATATATTTTAACAAAAATATGAACTGTAAACTTTAGAGTTAAACTAACACTTACTTACATATCTTGGCTATTAAATAGAAAATTTTAAGTTAGATTAATACTTGCTAACGTATCTTGGCTGTAAAATGTGTACATATGTATTGTGTAAGATATGGACACTACCTTTAAGCAAACGTGTTCTAACACATATTTTGTGTAAGATATAATAGTCTTGAAGAGGTAAACAGTTAGTGGGAAATACAGTGGTTAGGATTAGACTTATACTGGGTGACGTGTCTTGTTACTTAGTGAGAAATACAGTGGTTAGGATTAGATTTATACTGAATACCGTGTCTTATTACGTAGTGAGAAATACAGTGATCGAGAGGTAGATATACTGGGTGACGTGTCTTATTACGTACTGAGAAATACAGTGGTCGATGGGTAGACATACTGTGTGACATGCCTTGTACTGTAGTGAGAAATACAGTGATCGAGGGTTTAACTTGTACTGAGTAACGTGTCTTGTTAGTTAGTGAGAAATACAGTGATCGAGGGTTTAACTTGTACTGAGTAACGTGTCTTGTTACGTAGTGAGAAATACAGTGGTCGAGGGGTAGACATACTGTGTGACATG